GCTGGCTCACCCAGAGCAGCCTCTGGTCCTGCCAGTTCCATTCATGGTAAGTGCCCTGTACAGGTGCACCATTTTCTCTCTCTCTTTTTTTCTCACTCCATTGCCCAGGCTGGTCTTGAATTCCTGGTTTCAAACAATCATCCTACCTCAGGCCTTCCTAAGTAGCTGAGATTACAGTTATGTGCCACCACACCCAGCTTTCATCTTTTATAGCGTATTTTATTATACCCTTTCTATGTTTAGACATGTTTAAATACACAAGTACCATTGTGTTGCAATTGCCTGTGGGACTCAGTACAGTAACATGCTGTGCAGGTCTGTACCCCAGGAGTGATAGGCTATACCACATAGCCTATGTGTGTAGGGGGCTACACCATCTAGGTGTTAACTTGTTCAGGCCCTCTTCTTTGCACTTTTTCCCCTGTATTTTAACAAATGGCATCTTCCTGTCCTTTATGATACAGCTTAAATTCTCTCTTAACAATTCATTATATACATTTTCTGGCCAGGCATAGTAGCTCACATCTGTAATCCTATCACTCTGGGAGGCCAAGGCAGGAGGATCACTTGAGCTCAGGAGTTTGGACTAGTCTGAGCAAAATGAGACCCTGTCTCTACTAAAAAATAGAAAAAACTATCTAGGCATGGTGGTGTGCACGTGTACTCCCAACTACTTGAGGTCTGGGATAGTAGGATTGCTTGAGCCCAGGAGTTTGAAGTTGCAGTGAGCTAGGCTGACATTATGGCATTGTAGCCTAGGCAATATGTTGAGCAGATTCTGTCTCAAAAAAAAAAAAAAAAAAAAATATATATATATATATATATATCACACACATACATATTTATCTGCATCTATATTTTTAGATTCTCCACATTCTTTTTAACTGAAGCATAATGTTCCAGAGACTGATGGATCACAATTGATTTATCCAGGTTCTACTGATGGATATTTAGGCTCCCAATTACAAATAACATGACAGGGACTCTCCTTTTGCAATGGGCAAGAGTTTCTTTAGGGTGGTGGAGCTGCTGGATCACAAGACAATTATGAGACAAATTTTAGTGGTAATTAGAATAGTGGCTTTCAAATCACCCTCCAGTGAGCTGGATCTGGCCTCAACCCCCACCAGCTATACATGAGGATCCTACTTACCCTGACCCTCACTTAGATGTCATTTTTGTCTCTCGCCAACTTTGGAACATTAAAAGATTGGGCAATTTGGCTTAGCGCCTGTAGCTCAGTGGCTAAGGAGCCAGCCACATACAGCAGAACTGGCAGGTTCAGCAGAACTGGCAGGTTCAAACCCAGTCAGGGCCTGCCAAATAACAATGACAACTACTACCAAAAAATAGCCAAGCATTGTAGCAGGCAGCTGTAGTCTCAGCTACTTGGGAGGCTGAGGCAAGAGAATCACTTAAGCCCAAGAGTTAGAGGTTGCTGTGAGCTGTGTGACACCACAGCACTCTACCGAGGGTGATAAAGTGAGACTCCGTCTCTACAAAAAAAAATCTGAGGTTGCTATGAGCTGTGATGCCACGGCACTCTACCAAGGGTAACATAGTGAGACTCTGTCTCAAAAAAAAAA